CTATATATATGAGCTGATGTGATAATGGTTGGCTTGATGTTATACCACACCGACACTAAGTCAAATGGGACGTGAGAGTGCGGACGAAACCATTCGAGGAATACCCCGCATGGAAGTAGGTCCAATAGAGTCGGTGCGACGGATACCCGTATTTATTCGCTTGTGGTCTTTTCAATAACCACTTTCATCTTGCTTATAAACTCTCCTTCTGTTCACCTTTCATACCAATTGAACTCCTCATAAACCTGAGTTTGAACGCTTCCGCAAAATCTGAAGTAACATGTGCACTTTGACATCCGTTTGACACTTTTGACATCATTTTGACACTTTTGACATCCATATGATCAGTCCAAGTAGTTGAACTGTACCTCGCACAGTCGAGAAATATACATACTCATTCTCCTACAAATGTCTCACTAACATCTGACCTAAACAATAGGTTAGCAACTGTGCGGGCTCATGACAACCCAGCGTAACATCTACCGGAAAGCGCCAATCTTGAAATCCCCAGTGAGTGCATCTGGCCTCTCACTCCCGTTTTACACATCTGTCACTACGCTACGCCTACCTGACTTGTCGTATCATTCAGTGGGTTCAGAAAGGAACAGCCAACCGAATCGCTTCTCCTTTTCTTCATCAAGCATGGCTACTGTATTTAATCTGCCATTCCAACCTTAAATCTTCACCTACAAATGAAGACTGAAAGGAAACCATACACGTTCTACCTCTCAAACTCCGTAAACCACCCGTCATTTTGCTCGACCATGGTTGGCGACACCCGATTTCGGAGTTGCCTGTCACTGTGGCCAGCCACAGAACGCCTGCGTCTACACAGGGACCATAGGTGGCTTGCAAAGCACCACCCACAGCTCCATCCACACACCTAATATCCAGTGCAAAGCCGAAGGAATAAGACCGGGAGGCATGTGGATGGGAGCTACGTTTTATCAACCGAGCTGGCCCACACTTCTTCACAGGCAAACACAAGCACGCTGCATTTGGGGAAACAATCGCACATAACGCGGTGGATGGACCGTAGTCCGCTCCACACTGTGTGCATGGAACCACTCTTCGAGCCTAGCACGACCAGAAGGGTCAAGCACCCGTCCCCTTCAGTAACGACCAACTGCCTCCTGAAGCCAGTATGGGTAATAGACAGGTGGGCACGTTGTCAACATGCACATCAAGCGCAGCCACACCGGGGATGTCAAACAACAGCCAAGCACTTGAAATGATATTATCAAACAGAATATATCTGTTAAAGCATACGCCTATGCCGACATAACTCTTCGCTAGAGTAGCTTATAAAGTAAGTCGGTTAGCAACGCAACCGCGATAAGTATAACTTGTCCACAAGTTAGTCAAAAATGCTAAAAACGCGATAAAGCTAACGAAAATAACCACAATTAAGGTAATCAACGTGTGCAATTTAATAGAAGGTTATTCAGGTAGGCAGAACAAAGCAAAAATGGTGGAATGAAATGTATCCAGCTTAAAAAGACGTAGTTTAAGTTAAGTTGCTTTAGCCTAACTGCGCTGAAGAAGCATCTCGACCTGAAAATCCGCATTCCATGTATTTTTTGGAAGACGAAGACAACCGAGGTGCTTTACGTCTCCCCATATAACATCCATACAAACTTTGAAACTTCACCTGCAATTGAAGAATGCAAGGTATGCCACCGAACTCATCTAGCATCTCGACCCGACCCGACCCGACCACAAGGCTCGATGCTAGGGCTCCGTCTATTCTTGATTTTTATAAACGATCTGGCTAGGGAAACTACTTCGATTTCCCATTCTTCGTGGATGATAACAACTTATGGTGAGCAATCAGAGAACCGAACAACCACGGAAAGCTCCAGCGTGACCGCAACACGATTTTTAACTGGTCAGTTCAGAGTACACCACCGCACAAGGTGGAAAATTGTCCCGTTGATCAATTGCGCCATAGACATGACTACGCGTATAGGCTTCGGTCACATGTATTGCAAACAACTTCCCAAGAACGCGATATTGGTGTGCTCATTCCAAGTGAATTTAACTGTTCAAGCACTCAGGAGCAGCTGTGAAGAGAGCCAACTAGCACATCGGTTTGTTGCGGGGAGCATTCGGAAGACTAGAACCATCCATCCTCCCCATGATGCAAAATTCTTACGTGCGCCCTCACGTTGAATATGCCATCCAACCTTGGCAACCTTGGTTGAAGCGCGACTTAGAAGTGCTAGAGGGTCCACAACACGCGGCCACAAAGAACATCAGGGGCCACTGGATGTTTTCATTGGCCGCTATCGAAGGCTGCGCAGCGATCTCATATTAATTTACCAAATATTGAGTGATCCTAATCACGTATGCCGTCACTTGCTGAAACTCAGCAATAACACCAATCTCAGAGATAACCCTCTGAAATTGTGTGAACAGCATAGCCGCCTGCAATGCTGGCGGAATTAGTTTTTTACGGATTTGCCAACCCTGGAGCTCTCTCGCAAACTTAGTTGTTTCCTACCCCACCTTGGAAATGTTCAAAAAACCACTGAATCTTGCCTTTTGCCTCGTTGCCTAAACTGTGCTACTTCAAATCGGATTAATATTTCACATAAACCTGAGCAGACGGTACAGAAGTGAGTATTCTTGTTTTCAATATTTTCACGGAGTACATCAAGCTCAAGGAAACAGTAATAGAAGACGAAATAATGGTTTTCTTTGATATCACAGCTTTGTTCACTTCAATCAATATCTATCTGGCAAAGCAAATAATGGCAACACTACTAGACCAACGCGGATCCTCAGATACGAACAACCAAATCGATACCATCCACATGATGGAGATGTTAGATTTATGCCTCGCGGCACTTCAGTTTCAGAAGCCAAACTTACGAACAAATAACAGGCACGCTAATGGGTGCACCGTTATTTGGACTAGTGGCCGAAGTAGTGATGCAGGCATTGGAAAAAACGCACTAACGGTCGCAAAAAACCTAAAGTCTGGATAAGCTACGTGGATGATACCTTTGACATCCTAAACCGCTCGAAGCTGGAAGAAACATATCGGCTAATAAATAAGAGGTTTGCTGGTATTCTTTTCACTAAAGAAAAGGAGAACAATTGTCAGCTACCATTCCTGGATGTTTTAGAGACAAGACATGTTGCTGGACAACTGGGGACAACAGTTCACAGGAATACGGCTTGAAACCTGCATTATCGCAGCAATCATCCAAAAGCTACAAGTTCAGCTGCGTAAGAACTCTATTTAAAAGAGCTCAGACACATTGCAGCACCCCGCAGCTGAGGAAAGCGGAGGAAGATCATCTATTCGAAATTTTTACACGGAATGGGTATCCCAAGCATTTCATTCTATGTTGTTTAGCATCGATAAAACGACCATCGCATGGACACACATCAGAAACGGATTTAAGGACAATGATTCTAACATGCATCAACGGCGTCTCTGAGATAGTGGCGAGACTGCTACTACCTTTCGGAATCAGATTTGCTCAAAATCCGACAAAAGCTATTCGAGACAAGCTCTTCAACGGTAAGGACCGGCTTGGTAAGGAAGAAACAAGTGGTATGATTTGCAAAATCCATTGCACAAATTGTAACAAATACTATATGGGCCAGACAAGAAGGAAGCTTGGCACTAGGCTACACGTGCATAGCCTAGCCATCCGCTGACATGACCAGAATTCCCTGATGTCGGTACATATAGACGCCGAGAACCATCAGTTTGACTTGGAGAATGTGAGGATTATAGGCAGCACAAAAAGTCAAAAAGCGCGCGAGTTCATGGAGGCTTGGTACTCGGGGAAGAACTCAAGCAACAGACACTTAGATCTATGAAACGCTGAAGATCAAACCAATACCCCGCCCCGGATCAAGTGGACAAAGGAACGTCACTGAGGCGGACTCTAGCCAACGGAACGCAAGAGCTGACTCCATGGTCAGCTCAAGTGGACCAATCGACTCCTCACGTTCGAAACAGTAATTGATCAATACTCAACTGGATCTGTAACTGGCCTGCATAAATCGCACGGATAATGTCGTTTAGTCTGAAGATGAAACGTCTGCAGCCAAATCACCCAGCTCGAAGAACATCCGCATACCTCATCCGCATCCCGAGCTATAAATATTCTCACGAATTTCCAATATATAACTGCCTCCTGTTGTCTCGTCCTTCGCATCCAATTCCAGCTTACACTACTATTATATAGCGGTGTAGCTGCTTCAAAAATACTCAAACAGAGAACTCACGCCGCGTAAATCATTATCCATTGTTCATTGTATCACGAAATGCATCTTACTGCGTCATACCAGGCTGACTTCCAGCTTTGGGAAAGGTTATTTCTTTCACCCTGTTTAACTATCCACATCCTATGCATACATCGTCACCTTATTCGGTTACCGCAGCTGAAAACCTGCGAGATTACAGGCAGCCACATAGCTATATCAAGTATAGCTCCTGTTCGTTTTTCCGCGTCCCAGTCAAGTTTATTTAAGTACAAGAGTATTGCTACTCACCTATAACTCGTTTTCTTTTACCTTTCTTATTATTACAAGTTTGCGTCCATAACTGTGCTCTTATGCCTAATTTTGGTTGATGGTTTCAATCGATTTTCCCTGTTGCACAGACCCACGGTCATCATGGTCTCGGATATACACTGCAATGAAAGTGCTGAGAACATCCATGTATCTGCGAGCTGCATGTGCGTTTCGCAGCTGGTGTGCTAGTGAATAAGCCCGATGAAAATCGATAATCCGGACCGCACTTAATGGACCTACCAGGGTATGCCTAGCTTCTGGTGCATTTGGGTCCACACTCTGGCGCAAGTATGCATGCACAGGCAGCCAATGAAAACATTGCTGTCATAACCTACCCTACTGTTGCTACGCATAAACCTCAGTCATCCAAGCCAGTATGCTGCATACGTAAACTATGGACGGTTTGAACGGTTCCTGACGAGCATGTAACACAACTCTGCCAATGAAGGTCAGGACTGTTCGGGCAGACTTCAAAGCGGCTAAAAAATATACCCTTGTTTCATGATGAGTATCCAGAAAATTGTACATATAAAACCGGAGAAAAGAGGGGATAATGAGTGCGTTTAAGAATGTCAACTTCCATGTCATCTCTTGGACCCTTGCATCCGTCGGCGTATCACTCAGAGCATAACCTCGACCGCATCATGTTGTCGTGGGAGTAACAGGTTCTTCTGTGACGCTCGTCTGCTTTGTTTACTCACTTGACGCAGGAGCACGCCAAAAAGAATGCAGAGTGGCACAGCTGTCACCAACGCCACGCGTTCTCCGAACGTGAGCCAAGGGGTTTTGTGACCTGAAATAGTGAGAATAGCAAAAGAAAGACGTGAAGAAGGCAGAAGCTCCGGTCACGCTGGCACTCACTTCCTGTTTGACGCTTTTAATAAGTCTCCTTCGGTTCGTTGGATACTTTTCGCCAACCATAAGCATTGTTAAAGCGTGCAAACAGCCGTGCCAATTGACTTAGCTATCGAAAATGTCTACATGTGAAAGTTGTGAAAAAAAGACAAGTAGTGGCGTGTGGGTTAACACAGTACGGAAAAGTCCCTCGATCCCTTGAAAGAGGAGGGTGTTGATGAGTGACAGATGGAAGTCCTAGAAGTTTTGTGCCAACATACGGTATCATGTCGACAGTTCCTGATGGCCAAAGCGTATGTGTGCGGCTACAAGAAGAGTGCACCTGCCCCGGTACCTGTAACGACAGAGAACATTTCCAACACTGATGTACTACTGGTGCTCCTTTGCACTCACTGACTGCGAAGCCACCCCGCATCCTGTGTACCGGCCTTACCACTGGCTGATGGTGATCATCCATCTGGATAATGTACTATGATGTAAATCAGGTATTCTCAATCTTTATGCAACCGTAGCTCCACACCGAATCGTTTCATTTCTCATGGCCACCCACCCATGGTCGCCACAAATTTAGCTATCCGCAACGCATAACACGTAAATCTGTTTTTAAGTGATCCTATTAGTATCATTGGTTATGATGGCTAAATATTTAATGTAGGTCTTGTGATGGTCGTATCAGATCAGAGTGGGCAGATTGACCAACCGAACTAGCCAAACAGCCAATGGGAGACGGACGTGAAGGATTCGATTATTGGACTCGGATTAGACAATATTCGTGTGAGTGATTCACCTTTTGTTTAACTGAAGCGAAGGAGGAATCTCATCGACTCAGAAGGGCCGTTAGTTATGGGCTTGAACCTGCAATTTCTATCGAGGAGTTTGGCATGCTAAATATGCTGTAATTTCCGTTTAGCTGTCTTTGCCGAATAAACACTTGTCCCTGAAGGACTGAGTTATGCAACATGGTGTCAGAGAAGACAAAGACGAACCCCACCGGCGGCGCGCGGATGCTGTTTGGATCACCAGCGTCTATTCAGATGTCTGCCCCATTGAACAGGGATGAACGGAACCTGGCGAGTAATTGGCTTCTATGGGAGAGTAAGTGGGAAGATTTCTGCACATTGGTACCTTTGGACCAACAACCGATGGCATATCGCTTGGCCATGTTTCGACACGCAGCCACGAATGACGCGCGCCGTGTTCAAGAGATATTGCACTACGTCGAAGGCGAAGATCCCAATAATTTGGAGACGGTCATTGGAAAGTTCAGTGACTTTTGTGTAGGTCAAACTAATGAGACCTACCATCGCTATCTTTCTTTTCGCGCAACAGTGCCCCAAACCAGTTGACGCATACATCACCGAATTGCAAATTTTTGCAGGATCCTGTAATTTTGTAAATGCATGGGCGACAATCTCATACGCCATCGGATTGTTCTAAAAATCAATGATAAAAATAAAACGAAGCGGCTTTGGCGACAACGCCACTTATCGCTCTTGCAGTGCATTGATCTCTGCAATCTTGAGTCTTCGACCATCCATCAATACCAACAAATGAAGCTCCCAACAGATGCAGAATTGTGTGCCGTTTCCGGAGGTGATGCAGCGAAGGCTACTAACGTGAGACAGGAGATCTGCAAATTTTACGCCTCACGACATCCCAGCACCGGCGAACAGTGTCCGCCATTGCGAAAGAAATGCGCCAGGTTTGGAAAAAGGAACCACTTTTCTCGTTGCTGGTAATCAACTAATATGAATGCGGTCGTCCGTGACAAGTCCCCCGCAACTTCAGAACATTCAGTTGGCGACGTGTCTCGGAGAGTACCGTAAAAATGTGTCTACGCAAGTCTTTTGCTCGGAGGCAAAACCGTAGGATTGCAGTTGGACACTGGAGCTACTGTCAAAATTTTACCCAGGAAGCATTGTTCCGGAGTGTGCATTCGACTCGATAAAGGTTGCCTGCGTATGTGGAATGGTTCTAGACTTTATGCGAATGAATCGGCTACAATTAAAGTGACGGAGCAACTTATTTACTTGTGTTCCTGGTCGTGGATCTAGGAGCTCACGCTTATTCTCGGCATTAATTCGATCCAGTCTCTTGGCTTTGTTATTTTCAATCATAATCGTTTTGTTCATGTTTGTCAGGAAAAAACCGATATTGGTGGCCAATATCCAGCTGTGTTTAGCCCGGGTTTGGGCAAAGTTGAGGGAACCGCTCACTTGTCCTTAGATCCTTTGATACGACCGACAGCACCACCGGCTAAGAGAGTTCCATTGGCACTGCGTGGCAGGTTCTTCTCTGGATTGAGCAAATTAGTGAGAGAGGGTGTGATTGCCAAAGTCGATGAGCCAACAGATTGGGTTAAACAGATCGCTATCATTACGAAGAAGACAGGTGAACTGCGTGTGCTTATTGAACCAAAACCGTTGAATGATACCTTGCGTAGAGAGCACTACGCACTACCTACCCTAGAAGACATTTTGCCGTGTCTGGCCAAAGCTAAGTATTTCACGAAGGTAGACCTGTCTTCTGCATTCTGGCACATGGTTCTGGATGAATAATCCCGTTTCCTTACTACATCTGCAACACCGTGCAGTCGTTATCCTTATATGTATTCACCATTCCGTTCGAAGGTTTCAAATGAAATTTTCCAAAAAACGATTGGTGCATGCGGGAGACTATTTAAATTGTGTAGTATGCGTGGCAGACGATATTTTGATCTATGACTCGAGGGAAGAAGAGCATGACGCTAATCTCCACCGTTTCTTGCGGCGTCCTGTGCAAAAATACATCCAGCTTAAATGCAAGGAAATTGAGTTTCGGAAAGACGTGATGGTTTTCCATGGGCATTTGCTAAAATGCAAGGGGTCCGGGTCGATTTAGGAAAAAGTAAGGTGATTCGGGATATGCCACCTTCTAACGACCTGAAGGGAATCCATCGCTTAAACGGCATGGCGAATTATTTGAGCCGTTTTATGCCTATACTCGCTGATATCATGACGCTGATCAGGAAGTTAACACACAAAGGAGTAAAGTGGATTTGGGGAAAGGAACAGGAAACCGCGTTTGCAACTATTAAGCACCTTATCAGCAACGCGCTTGTACTCAGATATTACGATCCAGCGCAGCCTTTGGAGGTACAGTGTGACAGTAGTCAAGACGGGATAGGTGTTGTTCTGTTCCAAAGTAGAAAACAGTATTTCCGCAGTCGAGCACTTACTATGACCGAGTAGCGCTGTGCGCAGACTGAGTAGGAGATGCTCGCGGTAGTTTACGCCATGGAGCGTTTCAACGATTATACTTTCGGAAGAAAGACAATGTTGTATACCGACCACAAACCGCTTGTGTTGATAACCAGAAAACCGCTGCACATCGTTCCTTGTCCTCTTCAGCGTATCCTTATCCATCTCACAAAGCACGAGGTGGATATTGTGTCTACACCTGGTGCACAGATGTTCATCGTGGACTCACTGTCAAGAGCTCAT